CATGCGGCTGGTAAACTGTTATAGTTGTTTTTACATGCAGGTGGTAAATTCTTACAGTTGTATTCACATGCAGGTGGTAAATTGTTACAGTTGTATTCACGTGCAGGTGGTAAATTCTTACAGTTGTATTCATATTCAGGTGGTAAATTGTTACAGTTGTATTCATATTCAGGTGGTAAATTGTTACAGTTGTATTCATATTCAGGTGGTAAATTGTTACATTTGTATTCTTGTGCAACGGACACGTTTCTAAATAGGGAGACAACATGACAACGTTTTATTCATTGTAGATTAAATGGGAGATACAAATTAGCGTATTTTAAATATGTGTCCCAGTTTTACGAGCATTGACATAACGTTCGATGAATGACATTGAATAACATTGCCAAAATTCACTAAGTGTGTATAGCATATTGCCAAGTTCAGAAATACTTTAAAACTATTTTTGAGTTTGACGAATTCCATGCGCTGTTCGCATGATCTATGTTTGTCCTATTTTTATTTGTGCACGCGTTCTGGTCCGTAGGATCGAAGTAAAACCCTTTAACCAAGAATTCGCATTTTCCGTGAAAACAGGTGTTAACTGGGTGCAATAGACTAGGAAATGTTAATGATATAAAACAGTTTGATGCTATTCATTTTAATATGTTAACAAATTACCACCACACAAGTACACAAATATAGCCAACACCGTTCTTGATTTTTACTTTCCCGCATTTTACACTTTACTTTACAGGAAACACCACAATTAAGTGCAATATATATACTGTGAAATACTTTATATTCGCTTGGAATTAATTAAAGCTTTGAGACGCTTTACAAGTTATGCAGTTTTCTTTTTTTGTTTCTTAGATTTTCTACAGCATAATGCTAATAATATTGCGCCCGTCTTTTTAATGACGTAAAATATTACCAAGGCAACAACTACCACGAACGCGGCTACGTCCATTAAAAAATATTGATACCACGAGAGGTTGGGTACTTGGGATATCAGATGATCTGTGCCATGTTTCAATACATAGTTTACCCAGTATACAACAGATTCTTCGGCAGTCATCGGCTTATCTCGGGAAATGGCGGATAACTTCTGAGCTCTCTTTTTGTATCTGTTGGTAATATGTTAATAACCTGTTAATTGACACATTTGCACTACATTGGCAAGAATTAGATTAGGAAGACGCATTTATAGTGTTGTGTTATCGTGTGTTAGGTTGATTGGATTGGTAGATTGATGAATGGATGGGTGGGTTAGTGAGTGAGGGAAGGAGTTTGTGAGTGAGGGGGAATGGAGCGAGAGTAATGTGTGAGGAAGAAGAGGGGGACAGTACATACCTATCATCTGTTATTATATCTGTCATCATTTGGTAAAAACTGTCTGGCGTCATTGTTTTGTAATCGATGTAATTTCCGATACCTTTGGACTTCATTTTAGCAGCATTATCATAGTGATCGCCGTATATCGGTATGCATAACATAGGTACGCCATGATGTAATCCTTCATGCACGCCACTGGCACCACCGTGGGTCACGAAGAGACGAGTATTTGGATTGGCTGTGAACAACAAACATTAATTAAACATTATAGGACATGAAAAAACGAGTATTGGAGTTCGCTGTGAACAACAAGCATTATTTAAGCGCAATATGTCATGAAGAAACGAGTATTGGGATTGGCTGTGGACGTACCCCCGATCATTCAACTCAGTGTTGTCGCTATCGCCCACCGAGACGAATGGACTGGAGTACACATAACTCAGCAGAAACTTGGAAATGTTCGATTGCGTAAAAAGAAATAAGCGTGATTGAAAACCGCAAAACGTACGTATTACATGTATTTACAAAAAGCACCAACATTTTGGTCTACGCTTCTCCGAACTCGCTTGACCTTAATCTACCGCGGTATATTCATACATTATAAGTAGAGAAAAGTTGTTTGACTTGAAACAACAAGAAGAAGTAAATAACTTATAGTAATTCTACCAAAGGATTAGATTCGAGTCCCAAAATAAATTCAGCCAACTTCTTGAGCTCAAAATAGGTAGTTTTAGAATTACTAACGAGCTATAGCAATATTTGATTGGAATACCATTTTTACTTGATTTTGTTTTCATAGTTTTCTGAATGAAATAAAGTAATGGTAGCGCATGTGTAGTCCATGCCATCGCATGTTACTCTAAGTAAATCATGCCATTTTAAAAAGCGGTGGTCGTCGCGTAGCGCGTGTTCGAACAACGTATTTTACACGCGATGTTTTGGTTGATATGAGTTCCATATCCAACATGGCGAGCGCGACGACCATCATCCTTTATGGTCATTATGCTCATACTTGCCAAGTAAATCGTTTTGTGGCATCCATTTTTTGACGATCTTGGTATTACTCCCGAGAGTGTTGGGTGTTTCTCCGTCGTGTCGCCACACAATTCTTTGTGGTAACCGTGATAGGGCGGAAGCTATGTCCACAGTCAAGTTACGTCCCAAGTCTCTAGTTTGCGAACCCATAGAGAATACAACAATACCATGGTCACCTGATCCTCGTATCCAATCATCTAGCTCCTAGAAAAGAATGTTTATGTATTTGTATTTGTATTCAGTAAAAGTCTATTCGAAGTTGAGGCTCGATTATTCAGATTTCAAACGCGCATATAAACCATCTACAGTGTTGTAATCACTTATTGTTTAATTACTCATTTCCAGGGTCATTTGTTAGTAATAGTATTTTTTATTATCTAATGGGTAATAATATTATCATAAATGCACAGGTATTTATCCACCAGCTACTTGACGTAATTCTGTAAGCAATATCACTGAATTATGCAATTCTGGTCGGTTGTGAAGTCGTTCGTCACACTCTCTCAAATATCTTTATATAGGCAAAATACAACAAACCAAGTCGGTGAACAGATTTCCTTGATTACGTTACAGTAGTGCTTTGCCTCTAGAGGGCTATATTAACTGTGTATTCATGCTAGAGATAATTCTAATATATAATATTATACATGTACATATACTGAAGGATATTAACTTTAAATAGTTTTCATGGTAACCCTCACACAATAATCTAGTCTCTAATTATTTAACTTGATTTCAGTCCCATCATAGTTGCGCAAATGTGGCCTGTCGCTGTTTTAGTGGTTGGCACTATGAACGCAATGTGAAAATGCACTCAGACAATGCACTCGTGTACTGCATCGTTCAGATGTTTAACTTTACTCGGGCCTGTGTCCCTTCTGTCGTTTTTATCTGATTGACTGCTCACCACTGGTGCATTATCGTATTTGCATTCTGGTCTTTGTCATCAGTCCACAAGTCATACGTCTACAGGGCCTTGTATACGGATTGTCAAGACAATAACGCTCGAGTTAACCATGGAGCTAATACAAAATCTCGCATCTGTGTTATATTATGGCATGTTCCAATTTTAACAGCAGACACGAATACAACGCCATAATCTTACCTTAGAAAGTGGTTTTACTTTCTCTGCTGTGAATGACCCAATTGGTATAACGTGTGGCATCAGAGGACGGGGAAACTCAAAGGCAAAGTCCGAAGCCCACAACCACAGACTGGCCTTTGATGCAATGTTCACAATCTTTGTATCAGGAACTATGTTGTATTTATTCTGTATTTCTCTAAACTGTGCGAGATATAGTACATCGCGAAATATGTCAGAGACCAAATAAATGAGAGTATTTTTTAGTCTTTCCGTGAAAGTCATTTTGTCTGTGAGGGCCGACATACTAACAGGTACGTACGATAATGGTTGAGGTGCATGCCAATTTTTCTCTTCTACCGTGGTAAACGCGTAACTGATGAACGGTAATTTAAAATACTCAACATAGAGTAACCCACAAATGTTATTAGAGTCAACTACGGCAAGGTCAAATTCATTGATGCGATTGAATTCTGTGAGGTCAGGTAGGTTACTGAATATGTCATCGCAGATTCCAGCCATAAATTTGGAAAGATTTCGAAACATATGGATACTGAACCCTTCATTGATGGCAATCTGTATCTGGTCCAGGCTTTTCTTCTCTACGTCAGTCGGCGTCAAACTCACTGGTACTGTCTTTATCCTGTACGAATTACTGTTAGGCGGGGCTTTGTCACACGATGGTATCAACATTGTGACATCATGCCCATTTGTAGCTATAGCATCGGCAACTTTCCCAAATCCAACGACGTGTTTTTTCGTATACATTGGAAGTAACAATATACGAGCACTATTCACTGTATCAATTCCGTACATAAAGAGAACCATAATGGAAATCACTGCATTGTGCGACTTCATCTTCACCGTGCTTCTAGACCAACACTGATGTGGCACGTAACCTTCTAAACGTATTTGGGGTCATCGAGGGTTCTTTGTGATGTTTACTCATGTCGTCCATTGTTTGTATTGTGCTTACTCACACATGAATAACGCTCAGAGGTCAACCATTATGTGGGAGTCAATGACACTCTTGCTGGACGGATAGTTATTGCGCCCTCGCCGACGGAATCACTGGTATGTGAACTCGTCTATCACTGTCTGTCACTGTATTGGCATTTTCACAAAACGAAGTCAAAGAAATTTCCCAACATATCACACTGTGATCCTTCTATGTGATTCAATGTCATTTGGCGTCTCATGTTCGTGGTCTATGAGAGGAACCATAGCCTTTCTGTGTCGATAAAAAATCCTAATATCTGAAAATAACAAACTTAAGGACACCATTTGTATCAGAAACACCGACACACGAAGAGATATGAACCCTCAGCTAGTGCTGAAATACAAAATCAAGTGTGGCAAGCGCATAATAAACGTTATCTCAGTTACGCTTAGAAAATTCATAAGACACAATATTTTATTTTCCAGATGAAAAAACATACTAGTAATTTACAAGAACCATGGTGGGTTTGTTGCCAGAACAATACATGCAAAAGTGGGGAAATTGAACATTAAATATTACAGAGTCGCGCACAACAGCAGTTTGTCAACTGACGGCGTCACGCAAAATATTGTTCGTATTTTCGTAAAGTGACCTCAAACTCTATCGAGTGATTGTCTGATAACAGGACAGCTAGTGGTACAGGTCAACCATTGAGAATGCGGCGTTTCAATGAACTGATAAAACACATGGGCTTGTCAATTGACAGCGAACCCCCTAGTGCGGGCACGAAGTGCGATACGGGAAGATACTATCAGTCCCGATGACGTCACAGCTATCTGAATTTTAGTTTAACTTTGAAAAAACTCACAGAAATTTAATATAAAGTATATTGTCGGTAAAGTTTACTTATACAGACCAGGGTACTCGCGAATTCATAATTCATAATTTTTACATGACTGTAAATGCATGTCCCATTCTATAATTGACTTCTGCACTTATATATATATATATATATACATATATAATCGCAACACACATTCAGAGATATTCAATTTTAACTGAAATGAACATGGTTAAGTAACAATGGATAGAAAGTAGAAAACGTTAGGAACGCACTGATCGCGATCAAGGAAGACATATTGCTTAAAATATAGCCGTTTGCATTATATGCATGCCCAGACAAATTAATGTATGTTCATTGATCATAATATAACCAAATTTGTATTTATCACTTATTGTATTACAATTTTGATTAATTTTGTTTTTCTCTCTTTTTTTGACAATTATTAATACAGTGTAATTCATTATAAACTGAGATTGCACCTGTTACAAGTCTTGTATTCTAAATTAGTCTTTGATTTGGTTTGCCTGCCCTTTTCTATCATTACTTAGAGATCAACTTACAAATTGATCTTCTATATTTCTTATCTGTATTATAATTGTCAAATACTTTTTCATTTGAAAACCCTTCCCATACATTGTTTAGAGTGACTACACGTATTGTTATTTTGGATGTTATTGTACACGGGATGGTGAAGACAATACTTGCATTAAAAACAAGCAGCCTGTCGGCTGAGATAGCTCCGCTGTTAGCAATGCACATGGCAATTAAAGTACAGAAGATATCATTATGAAATGAACAAATCTGAGAGAGGTCCACATGTAGTACCTATATATGTAATATCAAAGCAATTGGACTTGCGGTTTTCAACAAGAAGTCGAAAATATCACTTTTTACCAAAAATTACAAAAAAATTCACCGAAATTAGAGAATTAAAGATATCATTACAAAATGA